GGTGGTGGTGATGATGGTGGTAGTGGTGGTGGTAGTGATGATGGTGGTGGTGATGATGATGAGGAGGAGGAGGAGGAGGAGGAGGGGAAGGGGAGGGGGGAATGAGGAGGAGGAGGAGGAGGAGGATGGACGGAAGAGGGGCGGAGGGTTCATCACCTGTTACTCTGCCCGAGCTTGCCAGGGGGGAAGGGCGGCGGAGCCCAGCGGCCGCGATCTCCAGGAGGGGGGGCGAGGCCGCGCGTCGCCTGATGGCGCGCCGCTCTGCTGGTGCACGCCGTTTCGCGGGACAATGGCCAGATAGTGGCCCCGTTGGCCCTCGAGCCGCCTGACGCTTCGGCGGCGGCGGCGCGCGCTAGCGAGTATTTTCGAGGGGCTCGCGGGCCTCGCTGGGCGATCGTCGACGCGCGTGGGTCCAAGTGGGTCCAAGATGGCCCCCAGTGGCTTGCGACCTCCGCCCTGGCTCCCCCTGGCTTCTCTCTGCTCCTTCTTCTTCCTTGCTTTCTTGCAGGATGTCGGCGAGTCGCCGAATAGAAGTGCGCGAGTCCCAAACCTTCGAGGCCCCTGAGGGGGGGTGGGGGGGCGGCCGGGCTTCGACGTCCAGAGGCTCGCTGGACGCGTGGCGGCCGTGGGGGGGGGCACGAAGCGCGCGAGCGCATCCCGTTATCGAAGACGCCTACGGCGAATCACCGCCGCCCCCTGCCTTTGTGGAAGCGCCTATGTGGCCGAACGTTGAGGCCAGACCTGCCAAGCCATCGGACCATGTGTTCCCCGAATCGGTTTGGAAAGCCTTCGGGGAACACGTGGGCGTCTTGAAGGTCATCTTGGCCGTCTTGGAGGCCTCTTGGGCGATCTTTCGGCGATCTTTGGGGGCTCTTGGGCCGTCTCGGGCCGTCGGAAGGCCGAAAAAAGGGAAATGCCCAAATCCATCAAAAACCTTGGAAAATCAGTGATTTTGGCATCTTTTGGCCTTCCTGGAGGCCCTCTTGGGGGCCTCTTGGGCCCTTTTGGGCCAGCTTCGAGCCAACTTCGGCCATCTTGGTGGGTTCCTGGCACGTCTGACGCCGTCGGGAGCCGTTTTGGGGGCCTTTCTGGGCCAACGGGGGACCCTCTTGGGGCGCTCCAGGGCCGTCTTGGAGGCCATCTTGGGCGTCTTGGAGGCCATCTTGGGCGTGTTGGAGGCCTCTTGGGCCGTCTTGGGGCCCTCTAGGGGCCATCTTGGAGGCCACTTGGGCCATCAGGGGGCTCTCTTGGGGGCCTCTTGGGCGATCTTGGGGGCTTCTTGGGACGTCTTGAGCCGTCGGAGAGCCGAAAAGGCGCAAATGCCAAAATCCTTCAAAAACCAAGGGAAAATCAATGATTTTGGCCTCTTCGGACTCTCCTGGAGGACCTCTTGGAGGCCTCTTGGGCCGTCTGGGAGGCCTATGGGGGGCCTCTTGGGCCGTCTTGGGCCGTCTTGGACTCTCTTGGGCCGTTTTGGAGGCCGTCTTGGACCATCTCGGGCGGACTTGGAGGCCATCTTGGGCCATCTTCGCGATTTTTTGAGGATGTCCCGAGCGAAACGGCCGTTTTTGGAGGATTTTTTTCCGGATTGAGGTCCTTTCGGCTTCCTCCCGGGACCCCGGCGGGACGGGCCGGAGCCCACTGGGGAAGTTCTTTGGGAAAAAGAACCAAAACCAAAACCTGAACAGCTCGTCCAGCACGCCGTGCACCCCTGCAAGCAGGGGGCGGCGGATCGAAGACGCCTACGGCGAATCACCGCCGCCCCCTGCCTTTTTGGAAGCGCCTATGTGGCCGAACGTTGAGGCCAGACCTGCCAAGCTATCGGACCACGTGTTCACCGAATCGGTTTGGAAAGCCTTCGGGTAACACGTGGGCATCTTGAAGGTCATCTTGGCCGTCTTGGAGGCCTCTTGGGCAAGCTTTGGGCGATCTTTGGGGCTTTTTGGGCCGTCTCGGGCCAGCTTCGAGCCAACTTCGGCCATCTGGGTGGGTTCCTGGCACGTCTGAAGCCGTCGGAAGCCGTTTGGGGGGCCTCTATGGGCCGACTTGGGGCCCGCTTGGAATGCTCCAGGGCCGTCTTGGAGGCCATCTTGGGCGTCTGGGAGGCCATCTTGGGCGTGTTGGAGGCCTCTTGGGCCCTCTTGGGGCCCTCTAAGGGCCATCTTGGAGGCCACTTGGGCCATCATGGGGCTCTCTTGGGGGCCTCTTGGGCGATCTTGGGGGCTTCTTGGGCCGTCTCGAGCCGTCGGAGAGCCGAAAAGGCGCAAATGCCAGAATCCTTCAAAAACCAAGGAAAAATCAATGATTTTGGCCTCTTCGGACTCTCCTGGAGGACCTCTTGGAGGCCTCTTGGGTTGGGCCAGCTTCGAGCCAACTTCGGCCATCTTGGTGGGTTCCTGGCACGTCTGACGCCGTCGGGAGCCGTTTTGGGGGCCTTTCTGGGCCAACGGGGGACCCTCTTGGGGCGCTCCAGGGCCGTCTTGGAGGCCATCTTGGGCGT